CCTGTCCGTCCTTGGGCCAAGCACAGCACTCCTACAGCTGCGTTTGTGGAGCAGTGTCAGGCTTGGGTGGGCTTTGCAGGCTGGAGTCAGTGCCAGTCCTCTGCAGAGAAGGGGAACAGCAGGTGCCCCAGGGCCCCCAGCCCTCGCAGCCCAGCTGCCACAGGGGCTGACTGTCACTGGTTGGGCACTGACACCTAGCTGGGGCCTAGCAGGCTCATCCTACCCACTCTGGCTGCCTGGCACAGCCCCCGGAGGCTGGCAAAGAGCTGGGCCATGCCCACTCCCCTGCCTGCCCAGTGACCATCTCCAGGCTGCCGAAACTAAAACTGCGGCATCTTTATTTTTCATTATCTCTGTTACTGCCTGTAATGGGGCTGAGAAGCTGTAATGAAACAACCCTTCTCTTCTGCTGGGCATGGGGTGCTCTACACATTCGGAGGTTGTGGCAATTAACGTTTCTCATTAGGGAAGAGAGAAGGATGCACAAGTGCCCTCATTGTGTCCTGGGGATGATTCAATGCAGACTGGGAGACCTCTCCTTTCACCATTTCCCACTCGTTGTGGCCAGACAAAGGCTGGCGTCTAATTATATTTTCACAATCTGTGCATATCTTTTAAGAGTTCTGTCAGAAACAAGTATGTCAGCTTTGTTCAGCTTCACTTCAGAGAGCTTTTTCACCTTAGACAGCAGTTTCTAAACATCTCTTCACAGTCTTCTCCACAGCAGCCCACATCTATTGTATGGAGAGCTTCTTTAACAGATAATAATAGGAATCCCTCTTGTTTTCAAATGCCTTTTCCTCTGTCTCCAGCCTCTCTGCAGATCCAACCTGCTTCTCTGGACCAGAGCACAGACTGTGTTCAGGACCCCCAGCTTCCCTTGCCTGAGCTGTGCTGGTCCAGGGCATGTAGGGAAGCCCAGTGAGTGGTCCCCCCTGAATTCCAGGGGAATGGAGCCYTCCTGGGGGAGACCCCCCTAGTGAGTTCTGTACTTGACAGTGCTCTTTGCTTCCTTGGCAAAGAGAGAAGTGCTGCCAGGAAAGGAAGTGCTATTGCTGTTGGGAGGTATTTTGCTTACTTCTAGTAAGGACACTTGAGTAATCTTCTGGGGTGAGAAGAACACAAATTCTATTGCCTCAATTTTTACGTCTTATTCTAGTGATTGAGCACAGGTGAGCTTTGCTTGCATCCCCAGTGATACTGGAGTTGTAAGAAGGTGGTGCTGCAAGAGAAGGATTTCTCTTGGTGTGCTTGAGAAGTGCCTGCACAGCCTGGCCTGTGTCAGCAACAGACACACTAATGATTGACTGCACAGGCTCTGCAAACTCCTTCTACCAACTCTTTCTACCGACTTGTCATTACTTGGCTGCAGTCCAGCTGCGGTTCCRAAGCTGAAAACCCTCCTGCAGGTGAGCACATTTAATTGCTGCCCAGAAGTTCTTACCTGTGCTTATTGTTCATGCTTAATGAGCAACTCCCCAAGATTTCAATAGTGTTTTTCCACATTCTGGCATTACTACCCTCCCTCCCTCCCTCTTACCTATAGTTTTTCTGTATCCTGTGAACACATTGGAAAGAAGCCGTTGACTTCCTGATCAGCTGTCACCAGCACTGATGCTTGGTTACTTGAGATAGTCAGAGACTGGCAGTAGATGAAACCACAATGACAGGACAGCAGAAATAGCAGCTGAAGAATCCTGCTCACTTTTAATAAGGTTCTGATCCAGCACCTACAAGCAAATAAAGACTATGTCACGCTATGGTGGTTGTTCTTTTATCGGCATATTAAACAGGTCTTTCGTAAACCATGTACATGTGAACCCTGTAAAGGATCAACTGTGTGCAGTCATGTCCTTCAAGGAAAGATGTATATTTATTGCTAAAAATGAGTATTTTACCAGCTACACATAASTGTGTAGGGACAGAGGAAAATGCAAACTCACATCTTTATTCGACCCTTTCTAGTTTTCTGTGTTCCTACACTTTCTTTTAAATTGTCCCATTCCATTTGAAAAGCGCATTTGTTCATTTTGTTGTAAATATCTTCTCCTCCTTAATTGGGTGCTGAGTCTAATAATCCTGCCTCGGCTTGTTAACTGTACAATAGCAGTCAGAGTTAATGACCCATTAGTGATTAATTCCTTAAACAGCATCTAATTGCTCACTGTAAAACCTTTTCTTAAAACTGGATTAAATCATCTAGATCCTTAACCACTTCTTTACTCTAACTTTGCTAAGGCTATTAGCATGACCTTCTGAGTGGTCTGTTTCTTCTGTTGCTTAAACTGTATTAGCAAGATAGTATTATTAGTGTTCATACTTGACTTCTTTGAAAAATCTGATGTTCTAAAGAAGAATAATACAGATAAAGAACTGCTAGTGAATGAATAATCATGAGGAAAATGCCATGATGGAACTCAATAGCACCATTTCTTAGCAGAAAGTGGATTCTGGTCTCCTTTCCTTCCTATCCCTGCTCAAAGTTCTGTCAGTATTCAAGAAAACTAGCAGATACCTGACCTATTTAAGCCTAACAGAGTTTTGACATGAAGTTCTCTTCAATGACTTCCCAGTGAAACAACACTGTCTCTGTGTCCAGAAGGGACCCTCAGTCCCTGCCAGATGGGTTGGAACCTGTCATTCCCCTGGAGCAGCAGGCTGGCTGTTGTGTGTGCACCACTGACACAGCAGTCACAGCCTCCGTGAGATGAGAGCACACATTGCTCAGCCATAGTTCAAATTTCTCATACGAACTGCTGGAACCGAGAGCAATACTGTTCCCTTCCTCTGTGCAGGAGGTTGAACGATCTTGTTTCCATCTGCCCCAGCCACATCTGTCAGGCGTCTCAATTATGGACATTCAATTTCTTACTATTGACATATCTCAAGTAACTGTTCAAAGATCCCGGTTGCATTTTTCCTTGTCTCTAGGGACGTACTGTGAAGTCCAACAAGCATTAATTCAAGCGGGTTCCCTGTAGTTACAGTGTTTAGGTTCTCTTTTCTGTGCAGTCAGCATCCTCCGTTGTCATTGTTATTAACCTTGGGACTTTGTCAATTCCCTTCAGTAGTTTGTCAGCTACAGAGTACGCAACCGCCAAATGTTATCATAGGAAAAAATAGTAGAATAAACATAAGACAGTGAAACGAAAAGCTGGTTAGACTAGGACGCTGACATTACTAGTTTCTCTGGTCGAATTAATACAGTGTCTCCTCTCTGAGCATCTGTATGTTCTGCCAGCGCATGATGTCAAAACTGGCTGACATTTGCCACTTATCCCTGTGCCATATGACATTTCTGCCGCACTAATATTGGGATTGCAGAACCGGGCACTGTGGAGCGGCTAAGACACGGGAAACAGCCACGGTCTCGGGCCTCACCGGAGCTCAGCGGTGTTCAGCCGGGGCCGCGCTCACCGGGACTCTCCCCTCACGACAGGGGCTCAGCCGGTCCCGG